TATTTGTGGGGTTTTGTTCTCAGGTTCCTTCATTTTCTTTTTTTGTGGGGTTTTGCTTTGATGCGCTTGTGAATAAGATACTCCCTTTAACACCTTACTAGGTGCCGTCGTTCTGTCTATTTTTGGAGTTCTTTGTTCATTAAATTTAATTTGGTTTTGTTTGGTCTTATTCTTTTTCAATCTTCTTTTTTGCAATTCTTTTGCAACCAAATAGCCTCGGTAGCTAGCAGGGTGTGCCTCATTGCAGTTCGCACACTTGGGCTGAAAATTATCTTTCTTGTTGCACTCCGCTGTCATATGATTACCAGCACATTTTACACATCTAGCCTCTCTTTGGCAAAACTTTTGTGTGTGTCCAAATCTCTTGCATTGAGGAATGGATTTGCTGCTTCTAAGAGCTTCAATTTTTACTCTCATGTGCTGTAAGTATTCTATTTTATAGATCTTGGTTATCTCTTCCGAATGGTCAAAAGATAACATAAAGAGCGGAAGTTTTACTGAAATATATTTTCCATTTTTCTTCTCTCTTTTGATTTTATTTACAACATCTAGACATTTAAAGCCTTTGCTTATAAGCTCTTTTTTTATATCCTCTGGCTCACACGATGGATGGAGATTTCTAGCCATAACTTTAACTGGCCTCGTCAGTTTATTCTCATACGTGTGCCACTCCAGTCTAGCCTTATTTATAGCTTTTGTTAGTAATCTGTATTCATTTTCATTTTCCACATTTATTTTTAATTGGTCATTATTCATCATATTGACCTTAACGTTTATTCTTTCTTCTTTTAATATCTTAACTATGTGGGAGTAGTTCTTAATGTTGCTCAATATAACCGGAGGAGGCTTGTGCTTTTTTGGATTTTCAGCCTTCATTTTAGGGCTGGTTTCATTATTTTTTTAACTGTCGTCTCTGAATTTATTTCAGGAGACTTTTCCATTTTTCGCTTCTTTGCATTATTCTGTTTTAGGATCCAGTCCTTGCCAGTTCTTCCTCGTCGGTTTCATATACGATAACTTCCGCATCTTTTCTTTTCTGTTGATGCAGATTTTATTTGATTTTTTAAATCTACATTCTCTGCCTGTAATTTGCACAGCTCGTTTTGTTGCACCTTACAAAGACTCTCCAATTTATCTCCTGTATAAGATGCCTTTTCATATTACCCTCTTGGGTTTTTATTTTATTGTCTTCCGCAAACTTATTAGACTTTTTCTCAAACTTATCATCCTTAACTCTGTCCTTTTTCTCTGCAATCACCAATGGGGGTGATCGCATGACCCCCGATCTCCTTCTAAATGGGTCCATCAACGCCGATCTACTATGCAATAAATGGTCCCCCCCAGAATCCATGAGACCAGCCTCCGAAGAGTGTGAATTTTCCAGCATTCACCTGGGGTATTCAATCCTTGTGTTTTGTTCATTGCATTTGTTTGTTTTATTTCGGAGTTTTCTTCTCCTAGCCTTTGAGAATAATTCCCTCGTGCAAGGCAGCACATATAATTTCTGCCGTCCCTCAGGGATCAGTCGCAGACCAGAGAGCCGCTCATTGTGAGTCCGTCGCGTCTGGATTTTCATTTGGAGTTTAGTGGACTCTTACCACAAGCATCCCTTACTGCGGTTATTTCGTAACCCAATCGGCCGGGAATCAAAGAATTCAGTAATAATAAAATAAAAACAGTTTATTATAAAAAACAATAGAAATTTTAATACTAGTCTATTAAATTCTAGTCCGACTTCATAAAGTCGTGTTTTAATTTAATAGCCATCATTTCTTTGTTGGCCGATCACGGACAAAAAATTTTCCTTCGCGTTTCAAAAAATTTTTTACGCTTAACAAAGCATAACACGTTGACACCAATAAACGATTTCTAAGTTTAGTTTTTATAAGATTATTATGTGAAAATATTCTTTCAACTTCCGCTGTAGAATGTGGCAACACTGACAAACCACTAATTATTTTACTTAAGTTTGGGAACATTACTTCATTTAACCCGTTTTTACACTCAATGATCTTTTGCCAAAATTCCATGAAGGATAATTTTTAATATTGCATAAGCTCATCCAATCTAGGTAGTGACTTCCATTCGCTCTTTACAGTAGTCATGGACAATATCGTTCATTTCAGTGATTCGTTCTGAACGAACTACTTTTTTTCACCGATCGATTATAAAATCTCGTTCAATCGTTCATTTCGTTCACTTCCCTTCTGTATATATAATTGCATGTTTTTTGGTTATAATTATATGTCTATTCGTATTTATGGTAAATTTAAAAGAAAAAAATATGTAATGGGTTTTGTAAATTAGTAATAAGTTTTGAACCACAAAATGTTTCCACTTATATAAACCAAAAAGTTTAAAACGTAGAGAAAAATTTAAAACTTTTACTTAAAAAACTGTTAAATTATAAATAATTTCTATTTATTTGAAGAAGTAAAAGTTTTAAACCATTTGAGTTTAAATTTATTATTCCTCACAAGAAGTTTATAGAATAAAAGTATTTGTAATTATCTTTATTTTTAATACTCGAAATCCTGTGCTAAGCTTTTTAAACTTTTTTTTAATTAACTTTAATATTTTACTTTAATCCCTAATGGGTTATAATCTTAACTTATAATGATTAATTTTTTTTTAGTTTTTTCTTTTATTTAAAATATTTAGGTAAAAATGCTATCATAATTATTATCCTTTTTTAAATATTTTATGGATAAACATAAGACATGGTAGCCCAGTCAAAGGCTTTCAATTTGAATCAACTTGCCCAATCCTTCAATAGTCTTATTTAGGTTGTTTTTTAATTTGGTTACTTTTATTTGTATTGAATTTATATTAGGTAACAGGTAATATGTGACGTTAATCGCTCAATTTTATTGGTATTTGTATTGCATTTTATTTATATTTGATCAGTTCTCGCTCGTTTTTATTTGTATTGTATTTATATTGACAACTGATTCGGTCACTTTTGTGTGTATAGAATTGCATTTATTTTAATTCTGATTTCGTTTTATGAATATTGCATATAGGAATATTATGTTGTTCGTTTTTATTTGTGTTGGATTTAGTAAATCGTTCAATTTTACTTGTATTTATATTGGCATCTGATTCGGTCACTTTTGTGTGTATAGAATTTCATTTATTTTACATCTCGTTCGCTTTTATCTATATTAAATATAGAAGTATGTTGTTCGTTTTTATTTGTGTTGGATTTAGTATATCGTTCAATTGTAATTGTAATTACAATTGGATGTATTGTAATTACAATTGGATGGAATTGGATGTAATTGTAATTACAATTGGATGTAATTGTAATTAAAATTGGATGTCAATTACAATTACAATTGAACGATATACTAAATCCAACCAATCGTGATTGTAATTCTAAATAAAATATGTATATGCGGTGATTTTTTTAATAACTAAAAAAGAGAATTGGAATTCTTAGTGAACGACGAACGATTCATTTTTGAAGAATTGAAGTAATCAGCTAAGTTCAGTGAAGTGATTCGTTCTTTAAGATTAGTTCGTTCGCGAACTTCACATGACTAATTTACAGCCTCAATGTCGACAAAATCGGCATCAAAAACTGTTAAAAGTGGAAATGTAGATAAATGATTACCAGAAAGAGCTTTTTCGGTTTTAAGTAAGACATACATACATTGTAGAAATTCATTTTTCATATCTATTTTTTTAACGATACTATTGCAAAATGTAATATAAAAATTTAAGATGATATTAAAAAATTTGGTGTTTAAATCTTTATTTTCATACAGAAGTTGTTCCACTTTTATTTCGCAATAAATTTTACGTTAGTAGAGGAAGAAAGTTTGATGGTTTCTTTAGACTAAAATTTGAAACTGAATGTATATTTCAGCTTTGGTAAAATTTATAAGGCAATTTTGTAAATAATTAGATCTTAATGAGATCCAATATGCTTGCGGGCTTAACCAAAATAATGTTTGCTGCATTGACAATTTGACATTTTATTAAACATCTCTACTAAATTAACTCAATTTCACAAAAGGTAAAATCATTTAAATTCACAATAGAAAAAAGTGTTGTTGTTGTTATTTCGATACAATATAAGTGATTAATATATTTTCCATTCACAGTTTTTCGTAGCATAGTTTTGATTGTACAGTTGTTCAGCTTAATTTAACACTTTAAATTTAAAAAAAAAAGGGCTAAAAATTTTGTCAAAGTGTTGAAAGTGCTCCAAGTTTAAAAAAGGACTAAAAATGACATAATAGGGCTATGATAATGGCATACAAAAACCCTATAAAACGTAACATAGAACAAAATAACATTCCCATATTAAAATGTACTTGAGGAAATTTTAAACATTGAGAAAATTGTATCTCATTTTTTCTCAATATGTATTGTATCACCGCTTTACACACTAACACTTTATTAAGTTTTAAAAAACTTTCTTGTACTCTGAGAATGTGAATCTTTAAATAATAAATTAAATCAAATAAACTCGGAATGAATCATCGGATATATATAAGAATCCGAGAATAAATAATAAATTTTATACCATGAGCATATTTAATAGCGGCCAGCTCTGTTATACACGGGAAACACTTTTTGTACTATAAGTACTTTAAACTAGTGGGTTTATTCGCTCCCTTGATACATAAAATATGTTGTCCTTGATACATAAAATATTGCAATAATCAAAAATCGCAAGTTGGGAAAATATTACAAGTTTTTATTTTTTCCTAAAATAAATTGAAAATTTATGTTGGCAAATAAAATTGGTTTTGCTCTTGTGAAAATTTTCATTTACTTAATACTAATAGCAACTTACTTATTAACGCCTACAATTTAAAAAATTATTCCTCGGTTATACATGAATTATGAAAGCAACTACCAAAGTGGTAAATTTACGTTGCTGGTTTAAGTTTGTTTTTATATTGAAATTGTTTTGATAAACAAATATCAAATGTCAAAAGCGACGTCGCCATTAGTGTATTTTATTTTGAGAAAAATGGTGGCTCTTTTTGGTTTCACCAAGTTAAAATCATTGAATATTATTTAAATTTTATTACAATCCGTATTTCAAATTATTTCCAACAAAAAAAAGAGAAACACAATAGTGCCTTTAAATATATTTAAAATAAGAGAAAATTAACATTTTATAAATTATTTGAGAATGAAAACTTTGTTTTATTAGTGTGTATATAATATAACAAAACGAAAAAAAAAATTCAACCTGATACCTGTTTCGCTGTTTATAAAAAAATATTTAACTGAGCAGTGCAAATGTGGCGATCTATCGTGAAACACTTAGTATTAAAATTAGTAAAGTTGTAAATTTTTTAATATACATATGTTTACATATGGAGAAAAGTAACTACATAATAAAACACAATATTGTAAATATATGTTATAAAAATTTTAAAGATTGGAATGTGAAATAATAAGAATATTATAATTTTGATAGTTGCAACAGCCTTCAAACATATTACTAAGATCTAGTTCGTATCAATGCAGTGAAAGTGCATATTTAAAGAAAATAATCAGGGTCTAATAATTTACAGGTGTTGAATTTTATTGGGGGTATCTATTGCTCTTTTTTTGTTTTATGTTATTTTATGAGTACCTATCTACAATGAAGGTAAGAAAACCTTAGGGATTATGAAGTTAATTTAAATTTACCATTTAACAGGCAAAAATAAAAAAAGACTTGTTTGTACCAATAACTATATACTTGTATAATGTATGTGCATATTTTGGTTTTTGATATAAAATAGTTATTCTTTTTAACGTGTAATTGACTGAGTAAGTTATTCTTTTGCTTACTATGTGAGATAAATAGATGCACTGTATATATATGTATATAAGTATGTCTATGAACATATTTGTATTTAAAAAGGTACTTACATTATGTAGGTATTCATATTCTTATTTGCTTTTACAAATAAATACAATTTACCAACTGTAGTTACCACATACATACATAGTGTACATTCATATTATAAGTAATTTTATGAAGATAAAATAATATAAAATGGCTAGATTAATTTAATGCAAAATTCCCTAATTCTCACGATCTCAATAGCTGTAATTTTTTTAATTTTCTATATTTATTTATTTTATTTTTTTATGGTTTTAATTAGGTTTCTTGTTTCTTTTATGAGTAGTTTTTCTTTCGAACATTTTTATTCGCTGATGCTTTTTCAATAAAAAGAAAGTGAAAATTAACAGATAAAATATTTTGCAGATAAGTTAATATCTATAACTAATATTTATCAAACATTTTGATAGAAATGATAGGTTAAAGATAAAAAACATATCATTGTTTTATATAAGTATGTGGGTTAGTTTTAAAAAAACTTATGGAAAAATTGCCTATTAAATTAGTAATGTTAATAAAATCAAAATTTTATAATTACATAAGCAATGAAAATTCGATTTTAGTTTGTAACTTTTAAATTTAAACATGTCAACTTAAGTTGATTTTTCTGCAAATTTGAATTGATGTATTAATCATTACAGTTACATACATATTATTTTTTTTCCATAAAATTTCGCTTTTCTTTAAAATATTCTAATAAGCTTTTTTTTATGAAATTTTTTTTTTTTTAAAGACAGATAGGTGGGCCCAACCTGCCATCAAATTTATGAATAGTGCGGACTTCAACCCAACTTAAAACGAACGATGGTTAAACTGAGTTTTGCTCTATCGTGTTTTTGTGTCTATATTCCGTGAAGGAAAGCACGTTAGGCTAATTCGAGAGGTCTCGTTCGATTCAGTCTATTTGTCCAAACCCTCTCCTTTATAAGTCGGGAGGCCTCAACATTTACATGCTGTTCCAAAACGCGCCTTATGTTTCATGGCACAGTTCTTTACCTCCTCACTTACTTGGGGGACACCCAGATCGCTATGAACATCACTATTGCACACATACCTGGGAGCATCCACCATATTACCTTGTTCTGGAAAGTTTGTTTTTGTTTAATGTCCGTTTGCTTCACACAACCCCATCGTGCAAGCTATGCGTCCATATAGATTTTATCATTTGATTATATATCAAGAGCTTATTGTATGTTGACAATCCGGACTTACGATCTAAGAACCAATAGCTTTTTCTATATTTGCTTTCTAATTCCAGTCTTTTCTTGTTTACATGTTTTTTCCATTTGAGCTTGACATCCAAAGTCATACCTAGGTATTGCGCTGTGCTTTGGATTGATATTTTAGCAGCGTTCGAACTCAATTGTGGTAGGTTCAGTAAATTTTTGTTTGTCAAATTCACATGTAGAAATTTATCTTCATTTGACCTTATTTTTCATGTATTTTTCCATTTATTTGTATTGTTACTTGTTATTGCTGCTGTATCGTTGGCAAATGTAGCGAGTACAATAACACCCCCTAAATTTGGTAAATCGCTTGTATAAAGCACGCATATTTTAGGACCCAGAATACTGTCCTGAGGCACACCAGTCCAAATTTTCTTAACCCTAGAGTACTCTTCGTCCTGTTTGATTCGGAAAAGCCTGTCAGATAAATATGATTCAAGTAACTCAACGAATTGCAAAGGTGTAAATTTCTTAAGTTTTAATAATAAATCGTTTTGCAAAACCTTATCGAACGCCTAGACGACGTCCAGAAATATTGTTGAACATATTTGCCTTTCTTCTAACGCCTTTTTTGCAATGTTTGTTATTTTGTGTACTTGGTCAATTGTTGCATGCTTTGTTCTAAAGCCAAACTTTCAAAAACAATTTTTCAAAAGTTTTGATATCATTGGTAGTAGAGAAATCGGTCTATATGGCTTTGCCTTATGCAAAGATTTCCCCGGTTTGCCTACCATAATAACTTCAGCTACTTTCCATGCATTAGGACTATACCTAGACCCAGGTCGACTGCTGTATTTATCAATTTTTCCAATGTTATAGCCTTTCTCGGCAATTCTCTTACTATCTCGGCAGAAATAATATCAAAACCTGGGGCCTTATTAGGTTTAACCGACTTTATCGGTTTGAAAATTTCTTTTTCATTAAATAAAGCCATAGTGCTTTCTTCCATATCAAAATATTCTACAAAACAGTTCATTTGGTTAAAAAATTGCTTCCAAGTTATCAGCAAATAGTTCAACTCTATCCCTGTTCAGGGGATAGATTTCGGAAACCGATCAGCAGCCGATTTGACATTTTTACCATATTTACGGAACGAATTGATGGAATTTCTCGAAATTTGATATTGGAGTTCTGGTTTTTACTGAAACTAACTGGCGAGGATTTCAGGGAATTCGGGTAGCATAAAGCGAAACTAAGTAGAGATTAAGAACCAAATTTACATTTTTTTAGGTATGTTAACTAAAGGCTTATTGAAGCCCTAAAAATTGTAAGGAAGTATTTAACAGGCATTTTTATAATATTCTGTAACACTTTCACTTAACTAGACAATACACATTACGGTCGGTTATGTGCTGACCACATCAGATTTTTTTATTTTATTTGACATCACATCCTTTGGATAAGTTCACACTTTAACAGCTTTTGTTAATTGTCTATATTCATTTTCATTTTCAACAATAATTTTTGGGTGATCATTGTCCATCATGTTTTCCTTCACGTTAATACTTTGCTTTTTGTGGATCCTTATTAATTACGTGTAATTTTGGATACTTGAGCTCTTACCAAACGGATTCATTAATTTTGCTAAGTGCCTTTTTTTTCCACTGGAGACTTCTTTGAACGCCTTGAACATTCACACAACCCCACGCTGACAACCAGGGCCTCTGCCAACACTTAAAGGGTAGATATTACCGAATTTTTATTCTAATTATTGGACATTTCACATTTGTTTTTCACGTTATATGGCTATTAACTCCACCAGGGTTTCTTCTTCTGCCGTCCCTCTGGGAAATAAAATAACGAACACAAAAAAAAAATAAAATAACGAATACAAAAAAAATTAAGACTATCAACATATCGACCACTAGACACTGAAAAAGTAAGAAAAATACTAAAAAAAGTGATAAGAAAGGAAAAATAAACAAATAAAAACGAACAGGAAAAAGGCAATATTATGACAAATTTAAATTATAGTAAAGTCTACATCTAACAGTACCCTTGCTAACAATAAGATCAAAAACGAAAGAATTAGAATTATACAACATTTTAGGTACCAGCTCATTTCTCCTGCACTTAGTAGAATGACAGCGAACATTATACAACTCAATAGACCTAAGATTCCTTACCTTATCCCTTATAGAAATTCGCTCTAACAACAAAGAAGTCACAATTGCTCCTGAAACAAGCTGATGGATAAATAGGGCTTACAAATGATATGTAATTATACATAAATGTTTCGTTACATTTGAATCACCCCCTCAATACCACCACATTGAGACATTGAGACAAAACCGGGACACGTACGTACATTAGTTAATTCTTCTTTAAAAATTCGGGACAATATTTTCGGTTACTTAGATAAAATGTTCTAAATGGCAATACATTGATATATTAGCATTGCATGAACATTTCATTGAGAATGTTGTATCTGTTGATGGAATTTTTGTCCGAAATTAGAATAATGCTTGTTTTTCTTTGTTAGATATACGTTTAATCTACTTTTTTTTTATTCATTGTTAATATTACATATATTCAATGTATATGTGTGTTTGTTTATATTCTACTTGAATAGGTGTAACTGCTAACACATATTATTAACATCCTTGGCATATTTCTTTTACTGCAATTTTACGAGTATTTCTACACAGTACACAGTTTTACTTTAAAATATTTGAAATTAATTTACTTTGAACATTTGAAATTAAATGCTTTTCGAAAACTATGCGTACTTGGATGATTTGAGAAGTATACGTACTTAGATGTGTATTAAGTCAAGAAGTTATTCAATTTAAATTGCATTTTATTAATTTTTATTTACAAATGGAATGTGAAATATACCATAAGATATTATAATCTAATGTAATCAGCACATAACCGACTGCAAGGAAATTAAATAGTAGCATACTTTAGTGAAAATCTTGCATAAGATTATAAAAATGATTTTTAGATACCTTTTTCAAATTTTAGGAACCTTAGTAAGCTAAGTAACTAAAAAGCTAACATATCTGAAAAATATGAATTTGGATATTAGTAGAGTTTCACTTTATGTCCAATATGATATAATGGAAATATGATATGTCCAAAAATTTTATAAGATCAATGTAGTAATACCCTGAATTCATATATTAAATTACAAGGAAATTGGTTGATTATTTCTCTTTATACGCGCAAAAATGTATATTTGATCCTGACACCAGGTTTCCTTTAAATTAAGTGGTTTGTCATGCTGTTGAGCTAAGCCCATATATGAAATTTCAGGTTGAATTGTTGAATATTGCCTTCATAATCATCAAAAATGTAAAACCTGCCCATAAAACGTTCCTGTTCCCGAGGTACACACAGACTGATAGACCGATCGACATCTCTCTAAAAATATTTTATTTTTAAATATCTAAAAATATTTATTTATAAAAGTTAAATCGGATTTGCAACTATGTAGGATTATAATTAAAAATTCAAAGAATGCAATCATTAAAATTTTTTGTGGTTAACCAGTTCCTGCTTTTGTTTAAAATAATGCCATTTGAGATTCACTACATTCGTTAATTTTCGTTGAAGCAAATGTTTAAAATAAAGTTGAAAACAGAATAAAAGCGATTTTCGGAGGAGAAATGTCAAAATTGATATAGGATACACATATATAAATGGGAGGGCCCAGAATGAATTAACTAAAATAGCCTAAACACTAAAATAGTCTAAAATCTTATCGCTTGCCGTTTGTTTTTTACGTCATCTGTTTTCATTTGTTTGATATTATATGCAAAATATTGAACAGTTGATTTTGCCATTCCGTTGTTGTTCTGGGTTAACAAGGGTAATCTTCCGCCGTGGCCGCTCATCGATCTGATTCTGTTTTTTCTGGAAAGTGAGTGAATGAAATGGATTATTTAATGATTTATATTATAGGTTGCCAGACGTTGTTGTATGGTCCTTATATGTATGTATTTATAAATATACAAGTATACAAGAGAATATTTCTGTATGCATATCATTATGCATGTAACATAGCTATGACGGGTTTTAAATTACAAATTTATTTTCATAATTCAGTATTAGTTTTAACTTATGCATATTTAGTATGTACCTTTCTTTCAGCCTTTCAAAAATAACATAAACGACGTCAATTTTAAAATTTTTCAATTAAGAGAAAAAAAAGAAAGATCTCAAGAGGTAACGAAAGGATATAAACTAGATGTTCACACTTTATTATTTTTCTTTATTACTTATACAGAATGAATTTCCAAACGCACTTTATTAAAGCGAGTAATTTCTGAACGATTTGTATTTTCAATGTGTTTGTAACGTAGAATTTTGGATTGTGCAACAAGTTAGAACTATTACAGAACTGAATTAATAACCTCCATATAACAGTTGTTTATATAAACGCTTAACTAATGTATGATGCTATATAGAAATTTTTTGAACAGTTAGTAATACGTTTTTTACTAACAATTCTTCAAACGATTTAAATGTGCACAAAATTTTAACTACAATTTATTAATGTATTTCAGCTCACAAAAATTTTTAGATGAAATATGAGGGTATAGGTTTTAATATTACTGGTAATATGAATGATGGTACTTAGCTATTTGTATGATTACATACATATATATAAACTAAAGTGTCTTTAATATGATGTAATAGTAAATAGAACAATAAACATTTAATAACTCAATGAAAACAAAATTAAGGTTTGACTTTTACAGTAAAATTTAGAGTTGCTATTGACTAATAACTATCATTTATTAAAAAAATTGTACTTTTAAAAATAAAATAGAAAAAAAAGACATGATGACTTCAAACTCTCAAACAACAACAATAATTGCTGCAACAGCAGCCCCATCTTTATTAAATCCAAATGTAACAAATAATACTGGTAATAATATTAGTAATAATAATGCTCATGCTTCAATATTATCGGCTGTAATTGACGAACAACAAAAACAATTTCAACAACAACTACAGCACCAACAACATCAGCAACATAATCATCCTCAACAACATCATCATATAAATACTAACGGAAACTCTAATCAACAAGTTTTAAAAAATCTCAATAATAACAACAATAGTAATATGAATAATAGTAGCAATAGTACTATTAATAATGTTACAATATCACAAGCAATTGCACCATCAGCAACTTTACTTGTTTATAGTAACACTAATTTTATAACAACAGCGTCATCAACAAAATCTGAAACATCATCAAATGGTAGCATTAGTGGTGAGTCTGTTAAAAAAATATCCAGTTCAACAAGTACATTAATGAATAATTCAAGAGAAGATATTAGATCAATTGATGGAACATCCTCGCTAAATAGTAACATAATTACAAATAATCACGATAAAGATAGAAAAGGTAAGTGAATGTGTTTTGTTATTTTAAAATTATTTTTATGCATTCTGTTTTATTCTACATAATTCTATTAAATAATTATATAGTAAATGATTTTAAGGATGTTATAAAGGTGGATGCTTTAGTTGCCTCAAAAACTGATATATTTTTTTAAATACTTGTATAGGTATTATGGTTATTTTAATAAATATGGAAGAAGAGAAAATAGGAAGAAAAACCTTTTAATTAAAGTTATAAGAAATGAAATTAACGAGTCGTATACAGTTCGTCCGGGTGCAGCACAACCAAAATGCACAAAAATGTACAATTTGCATTGGAAAAATGCCTCTCACGGCACTAATGTGCACATTCCAAGAGTAATGACCTCTTTGAAAAATAAGGCCGTTTCACACAAAAAATAAAGGAAAACTGACCTTTTAACAAAATAAGTCTTTAATATCCCACTCCTCTCATTTTTTCCACTTTCTTGTTATTAAATTAGAAAATCGAATAAAAAAAATAAATAATTCAAATAAAGCATAAGAAATACTCGTATAAAGAGAAAAAATGGCATACTGTTACTGATAAAAAGTTAACATCAAATGTAATGTATACAGTTTTTCTGTAATATTGTGATGTGTATGTATATTTGATATGTATAAAAGAGTGTTATAAAATAGAGAAAGAATAAATATAAATAAAACAATAAAAAAATTCAAAATTACTTTTTTTCTTAATGTTAATTATAAATTACAGATAACAGGTATGAATTGTAAGTCAGGTATATTACTTTCTAAACAAAAATTACTGAAAATGATGACGTTTTCATTTTCACAATATTTAAAGTTTTCTCAAGTTTTGAAGGTAAAATTTAGTGCTTTAAAAACTTTTAGCTTTGAAAACATATGTTCTTTTGTTGTATGTACTGTCTATGCCTATGTTATGTGTACGTCAAGCTTTAAAATATTTGCAATCATAGACAGTACAATTCATACCTGTTATCTGTAATTTATAATTAACATTAAGAAAAAAATTAATTTTGAATTTGTTTATTGTTTTATTAATATTTATCCTTTTTCTATTTTATAACACTCTTTTATAAAATTAGCACAAAAGGTAATAGGTTAGCACAAAATGAGCCTCTGATAAGAGCTTAATTTATATTTAACTAGGTATGTTAACTAAAAACGTACTAGCCTCCCCAAAATTTGTGAGAAGTATTTAAAACGCATTTTCGTAGTTTCATGCAACATTTTAGCTGAACTAGATAGTGTCTTGCGGTCGGTTATGTGTTGATCATACTTATCAAATTTTTTTTTTTATGTAAATCAACGTAATGCTTGTAAAGGATATAATAACATATTATGTTAGTTATTATGTGAAGTTTATATAACAGCTTACCTTATCTAAGTTTTAATTTTCCTTCTCACATTAAATGAATTACTAATGAACATACATTCATATTTTGGCACGTTGAGTCTCAATGTATTACCGGTGAGCAGTCGGAAAGGTCTACTGTACTACTCACTGGAAGTGCGGGAGGTCTATATCTTCCATGATATAGAGGGAGCTTTTGACAACACTCCATATCACGCATCTGTGAGCCATTGTACAAACGAGGGATTGATGCGACGACGAGCAGATGGGTTAATCGGATGCTACAGGATAGGATTATTAAGTCCACCATTGCTAACGATACACTCTTCATCTCCGCTGCAAAAGAGTGTCCGCAGGGCGGGGTTCTTTCACCCCTCCTGTGGTCCATTGTTGTGGATGATCTAATAGTTGCTCTCGAGGGCTCCGGGGCACGTGTCTGGCAAATTTCATACGGGGAAAATTTGAGAACACTATTTCTGATCTTCTACAGCAAAATTTACGTGCTGTGGAAATGTAGCGAGAAGCCGTTGGGTTAAATATAAATTCGTGCAAGAGCACTTTGGTTGCCTTCAGCAGACGCAGAAGCAGAAATAACGAGCGAAATTCTGTTTGGTGAACGTTTTAGTAACTCTAGGGAGGTGAGGTATCTGGGGGTAACCCTGGATGATCACCACTCCTGAAATACGCATATAGATAGAGTTATCGGGAGGTCTACGGCGGCCTTGTGGACGTATAGGAGCTTCATCGATGGGACCTGGGGAATCAGTTCCAGGATAGAACTTAGGCTATATACGGCTCTTGCTAGGCTCATCGTCACATACGCGTCGATTATATGGTACTATAATGCTCAGCACACGGATGTGCGAACCAAGCTGGAAAAGCTGCAGAGGTTGGCCTGCCTGGAAATGATCGGGGCAATGAGGACGGCTCTTACCGCAGCGTCGGAGGTGATGATTGGCTTACCACCACTGCATCTCCATATATTGAAGGAAGCTCGGTTAGTGGCTTACCCACTCACAGATACTTCATTGAGAGCGATCCGATTCTAAGAATAACCATGTCGGATGCCTGTCTGCCGCGGTACAACTTCGACCGCGAGTACAGGGTTCTGTTTCCCAAATCGATGGACGTGGGATCGGGGTGGCCCGGTACTTGAATCGGGCTCTAGCGTGTGGTATGCAGGCGGGTCCGAAACGGAGTCGTGTTTGTATTCGGGTGTAAACGGTGCACTTTTTGAAGCGGGAATGCTTACTTATAAAATAATTGACCGAAATTTATTTATTGAAAATAAAAAAAAATTTGGCTGCATTTACTCGTAGCGGAAATTTGTTAGAATAACACATATTCTTTCATTTATTTATCCTGTAAGTAATATGTATTTGGGTGATAGATTTGTATTTTTTACATGATACATTTAGATGGATTTGGATTTTGATTTTTTATCACACATTTTTATTGAAACTTGATTTCACTATGTTTGATGTTCCTTTTTAACCGTAAAATATAGGGTATATAGTGTATAAGTGATTGTAAAATTATTCAAAAATCTTACCGCATCTTATTGTTAATTTACAATCAAAACTCTTGCATTTTATGAAATTTATTTAATTTTTTGTCTTTTTTTCACAACTTTTCTTTTATTAATTTTATTTTTTTTTATAAAATAAACCAGTGGTTTGCATTGTAGCACTTTTCCCTTTAACAAGAGAAAATACTGCTTCTAAAAACAATCTAGGTATACTTTCATACACTATTAAAATTACTAGGCATATACACTATTAAAATTACTTTTATCTGAAATAAGAAAGAGATACTGAATTGAAGCATTTTTGGGTTAGATGTGACTATGTACAACGAAATCAAATTATTCAGAAACTGAAAATTAATAAGGGACGTTTTTGGCACAAAATAAACATAAAAACAATAAAACAAAACGTTAAAAAAACATTTTGAAAAAATTTAAATTTTGATAGTTTGAGGACTTTACAAAATATTTAAATAATTTTAAAAACGATTTTGATGAATTTGATGCTAATAAATTGATTATTCTGAAAATAAGTGCTGATATTTTCCCTCTATCTGTCCATGCCTCCGTGGACCCGTCCTTTGAAGATAGAAAGTCCTTTGAAAAATTCAACACCTTTGAAGATAGAAAGCTGAAATTTCATAATATATAAAAGAATCTTTACTTATTTGCATTTGTGTTTGTATTTTTCATAAATATACGCACACATAAAAACGCTTGTTAAATTTTTTTAAACGAAATTTCTATTTTTCAGTTGTTTAGAGAAAATATTGGTCAGTCAGAAATTATAAATTTAATATTTGGTTTTTGTACCTACTTGAATATTTTCATATATTTTGCAATATTCAGTATATTTTTTTTTTAAACTGAAAAGTAAAAATTTCCCATCCAAAAAACTGAAAAGTAGAAAAATAAAATGTTCAAGTTTTTTTTGTATGAATTTCTAAGTCTATAAAATAGTTTCTGCTTTTACTCATATACGAAACAGTTTCATTAAGGATTGCATATATTTAGGATAAGCGATTTATGCAGTCTTTGAAATAAAATAAAATTAATTGATAAAGCAAAAATTACTCGATTTTAATCGTTAATTGCGGGAGTTAAGAAAAATAATTATATTTTTTAATGGCATTGAATTTAACGTTAGTTTTCTGCGTTTATAGAGGTTTGAAAAATCTTGAAATTTCGGAAATAGTGGGTATGACTTTTAGACGGGGGGAGATGGGTAAAAATTTTCTTCTACGGAAACAAGTTTCTAGTAAAGATCCATATACATACATATAAAATTTCAGCTTTCTATCTTCAAGGGTGTAGACGTTTTGTAAACATGTCCACGGACCGACGGACGAATAGAGTAAAACTAATAAGCACTTTTTTCAAAATTTCTTTGATATATGTATTTTTTTTTTTTGACATACCCCAAAAGTATTGTTTCATGTTTTTAATAAATAAAAAATAAATCCAGATTTATTTTTAAACCAAATTTCATAAAATAAATGCAATTTTTCTTATAACTTAATATCACACAAGTTCCGCCTGATAATATGACAAGTCAAAAAGATTTTCGTAGAAATCAAGTGCTAGCAATCGGAATTTCTGCAATTTTGTATGTAAGTTTCATTTGACAATATAACGTAACGAGCCAGTAAGCATTGTGGAGAAATCGACTGGTTGTTATACAAGGAAATATTCAACGAATTGTTCTATCTATATTCTATAATATTAAATTTCAACACTCCATTAACTAACAAATATTTTAGAAACCGAAAACTAAGGCTCGTTTTTGGCCATATCTGGGGAAATAAATAAGGAATTTCTATAAATTTGATGTAAAAAGAGTAAAATGGAAACTAATTATTATTAGTTATACTGAAAATACAAGGATTTTATTATATTATTCAGAAAACATACATTCAGTTAGTTACATATTCATAACTAGTAAGAATTTTATGTATATATATATATATATATATATATAAATATATATATAAATATATAAATATATATATAAATATATATAAATATATATATATTTATATATTATATATAAATATATATATATATATATATATATATATATATATATTTATATACAAAGAAGTTGGTAGACGTTGATGATTCA